AAAAAGATGAAAATTTTTCTTTCAAAATTCATACCAAAAGAGTACCTTCCATTACAGCAACGGCTTTCCCACGAAGCAACACTCTCTGTTTCTTCTCGTCAAAATGTATATTTAGCACGCCACTCCTTGGCGACGCCTGATTCAAAACGAACCCAAAATTAGCACGTTCGTAAATAATAGCACGAGACAATTTTACACAAAACAGAATCATTATTATTATTATTATTATTTTTACTTGATATGCGATTAAATCACATTTTCCGAGCCTGTTGCTCCAGTAAGCTGCTAATGCACAGTGAGCACTTCCGCATACAGGATCCTGAAAAAAAATGGAGAATAGTCCATAAAAAATTTTCATTTTTTTTTTTCTTTTTCGTCTTTTGTTTGCTAATAATTGAAGTCCAAACGTATTATTACCTCATTTATCCCGAAATTCGGGCAGAAAAAGCGACTGAAAAAATCAAATCCCGAGCCAGTTGGAGCAATTCCGGTGATGATCATTCCTCTCCCGGGATACTTTTTTATCTCGTCCAAAACGGGTTGTGCTTCTACAACAGCCTCCCCAGATGCTAGCACGACCTGCCCAACTCATACCCGATCAACAAACTTATATCGATTTCTTCGGCAAATACATATATACACATTCACTATTAGAAAAACGTATCTCCCGACTGAGGCTATCTTTAACAACATATAAACATATATGATAAACATAGGTGTTAGCTTATAGCATTTAAGTGAATTTCGAGTTTATAGCTGATAGCGTATTGACTTATGGCTGAAAATATAGTTTATATGATAAAAGTGTTTGGTAAAATTAGCTCATAAGTTAGCTAAAATAGAATTTTCAATGAGCTTATTTGAAAAGCTACCCAAGGACATATGAGATAAGCTCGAGCTTCTTCAAAAAGCTCCTCCTACAAAACCAAGCTTATTTTAATACAGGAATCTTATAAGCTAATCAAATAAGTTATAAGCTAACTTATATGCTTACCAAACACAACCATAGATAGTATAACACTGATTCCATAAGATAATTGTTGTTGAAGATTGAATCAAATGGAAATTAAAAAAAAAAAAAAATTATTAGCGTACGCACAAGAAGGTCATCTCCAGTCGTGTTCTTGATTTCTTTCACGGGGGCACCACTCAAGCTTTTAGAAAAAGACGAAACATCCACAGAACCAGTGTATTCTGTTATGGATAATGCCGGAAAATCAAGTTCGATAAGAAAGCGAAGATCGGGTGTGTTTCCATTCAAAGAGTCAGAGGACTTAATGGTGTCGGGTACTCTTTTAGCCGTCAAAATACCAGAGAGGGTTGAGAACTCGATCGCATTCGATTTCACGAATCCGTACGTGAAAAGAAAGTGGGATGCAGCTAAAGTTGCGTGTCCACAAAGTTCGACCTGGAATTAAGATAAATGTGAATTTGCGTTTTAGTTTGTTAGGAAAAGGGAAAAACACCCATATCAAGTAGTAACAATAAACCCAACCAACATTCAAATGATCAAAGAAAGTCGGATACTACTCATTTTTTACAGGTCAAAATAGAAATCGATGACAAGCTGATTTGAAGTTGAAACCAAAAGAAAGAAACTAAACAATAATTATCATAAATTGCACTCCCTATCCTAACTTAGATTATACTATTTACATAAATAATTAAAACTATTTCTCTCTTCCTTTCCTCTATTCCATCTAGGGGTGTTATTTGAGTCGAGTCGAGTCGAGTTGCTCATGTTCAAGCTCGTGCTCATTTAATAAAAGACCCAAAGGATCGGCTCAAGCTTTGGCCTGTCTAAGCTTGTGAAAGCTCAGCTCGGCTCATTCAAATGAACCTAAAACCTTAAATGAGTTGTTCATGAACAAATTCCACTCAGTTGTATCATTTTAAAACCTACAAAAAAAATAAAAAAAATAAAAATAAAATTGAGTTGTTCGCGCAAACAAGCTTCGCTCAAGCTCGGCTAGTTTAAGTTAACGAACGAGCAAACTCGAGCTTCACAAGCAGAACCGATCTGTGTTTGCAAACACCAGCTTCTATACCATCTAACCAAATTATTGAAAGCTTCAGCATCTGAAATCATTATTTATGCATTCACATCAAATTAAGTCATCAAGCCTTTTCATTTACCAAACTGAAACAATTATCTGAGCAATAAATAAACTGGAATCAGTAAACTGAAAAATAAAATGTGGACCTCAGTAACAGGTGTGAACCAGCGGAGGCCAAACCTTGGGACCGAGCCGATCGCCGACCCGCCCGGCTGGGGCAGCCGGGTCAAATAGCAAGTCTCCGATAAATTGAACTCACGCGCCACCGCCTGCAGCCACGCCTCATCTCTCTCCTCCTCCAGCAGGCACACCGCCGCCGGGTTCCCCTTGAACGCTGCGTCGGTAAATGCATCAACCTGGTCAGAATTCGTCAAACGCGTGACACTGTGTGAGTTCGTGCGCGTGTATGTGTGTGTCGATGTGCAGAAAAACAGAGGAGATGAACTTACCACGCAGTATTTGACGAGCTTCTTGGCCATGGCGGTGAGCTGAATTCTAAAAGGCAAACAAATGGGATTGAGTTTTCAGAGTCAAAGTCGAGCACCTTTTTGAAAAATGGGATTGAGAGTTCGTGCGTACTGTTAAATGACCTTTTGGAGCCAATCAAAGATCAACTGAGAAGATGAGATTCAACTAGCCTGTATGACTACAAGGGAAAATTGGGCTTGGGCTTCATAAATCATTGGAAAATGGGCTACAAAACATGTCTCACATACAGTCCAATTGTAGGTTATTATTTTTCTTATGAAAATATATATATATATATATGATGCAAATTAGGGCTGCAAAATGAATCGAGCGGCGAGCGCTCGAGTCAAAGCTCGACTCGAGCTCGAGTTTGACCGAACTCGAGTCGAGCTCGAGCGACTCGAGCACGAACTCGAATCGAGCTTGAGCCCATATTTTGCTTTGTCGATCGGCTCGAGATACACGTTAAATTACTAAAATACCCCTTATTATATATATTAGCATAAATGCTTAATAGTAATTTTACCTTTCCACTTAAAAATTTTTGAGTCGAGCTCGAGCTGTTGTAATTTTTTATCGAGTCGAGCTCGAGCCTCAAAATTCGAGCTCGACGAGCTCGAGCTCAGCTTAAAAAAAAAAATAAACTCAATCCTGCTCGATAAGGCTAATGTTCGACTCGACTAGACTCATTTGCAACCCTAAATGCAAATGCAAGCTACATGAACGTAGGGTGTAAATTCAATGTAGGGTGTGGTTAGAAGGTGAAATATAATTTAAAGAATTGAAAGAAATATTATTAAAAAAACTTGTACAGAGATATAAAATGTAGACTAAAGTTTTTTTTTTATTATGTTTGAAAATATTTTCCTAAATATAATATTAATAATAGATGAAATGTGATCATCACCATTGAAAATATTTTCCTAAATATAATATTAATAATAGATGAAAATATTAATAGTAGAAAATTTGTAGATCTATGACAATTGACCGGAAAATTGAAAGTTTTATCGTCGAAATTTTTTCGTGAAACTCGGATATGTTGTCGACATAGAGGAGAGCTACAAGATCATGAAAAAATTTTCAATATCCGACGAAGTTGGCCGACGGTTGGTGGCGGCAGTTGGCGGAGGTCCGGCGGGCAATACAAAATTGCAACACTTAATAAAAGTTTGGTATTGTTTTACCAAATTGAAAAAGTTGAATTTGTTTTGCAATTAAATAAAAGATTGGAGTTTTATATGTAATTAACCCTAGATAATAATAGGATCCATAACACTAGAATCATAAACAATATATATTGGCATGCGACTAATACATACCATACACTTTTTTCCCTATAAAATTTTTAAATTAAATTTTGTACCTACAAATAATATTTGTGATATTGGACGGGATAAGATATTTATCACATTAATGATACTCCTCCAATTTTTTTCATAATAATATCCCAATATGAACATAAATTTTATCATTTTTTAAAAAATAAAAAAATATTACTATTTTACAAATAATAGAAGTTAACATGTATGAGTCAATTAAAATTAATGTCCCAATAAGAACATAAATTTTATCATTTTTTTTTTAAATAAAACATTTATTACTATTATACAGATAATAGAAGTTAACATGCATGAGTCAATTAAAATTAAAAAACATAAACTAAATACTCAAAAAAAAATACATGCATATATATTTAGTTTTGAATTAGGTCCACTTTGTCACTTTTTTAGTGGGAAAATAAAATTTAACCAAGGGTGATTATATATATAATGAAATGGATAATTTTTGATTAGTTACAAAATATGCCCAATAATTATTAATGCTCAATGTTTGAGTCACAAGAGTTGAAATAAAAAACTAGAATCAGCTAGCATAAACACAATACCAAAGTCATGAAAACACGACAACTCCAATAAATTTCACAAATACTGACAATTCACCTAAAACAACATAGGAAAAAACTCACACTAATACTCGAAATGCCCAAAACCACCTAAAGCTCCATATTAATTTGACCGTGGCGAAACTAATACATTTCGACACGACAAACCTATCATAGCTTTCGGAAAGAGGGGCACTAATAACAAAGGGTTATCGGCACTAAGTCATTACTAGCTTCAAATATGCAAATAAACTTAAAAGAAAAAAAAAAAATGAAGCTCGGTTTTTATAGTACATTTGCCATAACCAGGGCAAAAGTACATCACCAAAATCCTTGTTTCGCCATTCTCAGAAAGTTGCAGAGAGTGATGCTAGGGATATCAACACACGACAATTGCTTCTTCTTTATCCTCGTCTCCTTCAAAGATTCACAGCCTTCAGATAGGCTGGTCGTGGCCGAGACAAGATTATAGTACTGTCGAAAAATGATAATCGTGTCAAAGTCAAACATCTGAAAAGTGGTACTTAACAAATATTCCAGTTTTTCTTATTGGTTTTTTTTGGTTAATCATTGTTAATTTTGAAAAAGTTGGTTTGGTTAATTTTTGGTGGGATTTTAAAATAATATTTAAAATAAAATAATTAAAATTGGTTTGATTTAAAAGTAAGAGAGATGATGTGATGTGCAAGTTAAAATTATGTGAGTGGGTGGATAAATTAAAGTTGTGTTATGTCTAAGAATGATTGATTGATATTATATAATTAGAATTAAATATGAGTCAACATACCCAGTATATTCCCAACAGGTAGGTTGGGGTTTGGAGGGTCAGTTGTATGCAGACCTTACTCTTGTAATTATACAAGGAGGCTGTTTCCATAGCGACCCAAGGTGCGTTGCGTCGTTTGATATATTTTTTCTAGAAACTTCACTAATAGAAGAAGCACTAGAATTTAATTGAGCCATTTTAATTGAGCCATTTTGATCTAGTCCATTCTTAGCACTATGCTAGGAGAATTGTCAACAATGACTCTTCCAGGCAATGGACATAGAATTAAATATGAGTATGAATTTTTAATAAAGAAACAGTCTCTAAACTGCCAAAAGTAACGAGTCGAAAGTTCCTACATCATACTTCAAACGAAAAAGCAAGTAAATAGAAGACAATTAGGATATAGGAATATATATACCTCACAAACACCATGCAAAAGTAAACGGTGGAAAGAATCTTGAACATGCAGCACCAGAACATCTCTGTCTCCACCATCCTCGACAAATGACCGCACACATTCCTGATGGGATTATTTCCGACACGTTCGAAACATTTAAGAGTACAAACTCAGAAAAAAATATTGAAATATACAATACACAAAACGAATCCCACAACAGTTTAATTAAAAAAATAGCCCCGGACATAAATGTGCCTCAAGAAGATACGGATACTAAATATTATAGTCATAAATCAAAACAGAGAATGAGAGCAATTATCGCATCAATAATTCACAAAAATAACATTTATAAAACAAATCTAAAGTACCTCATATCCATTCAGCAAGTCTAAAAGATAACATCGACGAAGTGCCTCTCTGGTTCTGTTATCTACGCGGTGCCAAGCTTTCAGCACTGAGACTTTTTCATTATCCATACGACCTTTCCTCATTGCAGACGAGCTTTCGAGGGATTCCATGATAGAGGCCTACAGAAAGGAGAAAAATTGAAAAGGTTTAGGCCATGTTAGTGATACAAAATAAAATACTCAAAGCAAAAGGAACCACCAATCACAAAAGAGAAATACAGAATTATAGAATACAAGCAGAAATTGGTTTGAGCTATTGGAGAATACAATTTTGGTACAATTCAATTTCTTAGCAAATATATAGATCAAGAGCTAAAACAATAATCAACTTTACACAATCTTCTCAAAACTTTTCGCAAAAAGTAATCAATGTGACCCATTAGATATGTGAATATGATGAGAATATACCTCCTTATTCATGTCTATGTGTCTGAACCTATCCCATTCCCTCACATTTGTCTGGCTAAATGCTGAAGGTGGCACATCATCACCTACAAATTTACACAGCTTATTTGATACGTATATACAACAAGCTGAACACTCAAAATGCCGGGATATTCAAGAGCCATTTGCACAAAGATCGCACCACATTACGTTCTATGGTTTGAAAATCCAGACATAGTCTCCCCATATAAGACTAATTCCCAAAACCAGACAAAAGACTGTTCTTTTTCCACAAACTTCCCATTTTTCTTTTTCTGACAAACACTCACCCCATGGCGGTGGAGCAAACAAACCCCGGATTTCATGACCATCCAAACGCGGCACAAGCTCCATCAACAACCGATCGTTTATCCACCGGCGATACCTTCTGTTGCTAACCTGCACAACATGGCTTATACTCTAAACACTATTGAAAAAACAAACCTAAAAATAAAGTAGATAAACATGCAAAAATATCAATTACTCTTCCAGCTAGGTTCTCAAGAAATTCGATCTTCTTCTCAATTTCCGTCCCCCGGGACTTAATATTTTCATCTGCAACCATGAAAAAATACAAGGAAAAGCACACAAAATAGAAGGAAAACAACAAAAGCANNNAAAAAAAAAAAAAAGTGAGCCGAGAGAGTGAAACGAAAAATGTATATACAAACATAACAGAAATACAGAGAGATTCGAAGCTTAAACCTCCGATTAAATCTGTAAATCAGGACAAAACACGACGATATACATACATAAAAAAAATCGAACCTTTGGGATTGCCGAAGAGAGTCGAATACATAATGAGATCTTCCTCCGTCCGCAAGATGTTAAGGGTCGCCATGATTGCTTGTTTTGATTTGCCTAATTACCTGTTTTGAATTCTAGGGTTTGAGTTTTTGATTAGGGATTTGGTTG